TGAAGCTGTACGAGCGCCTGGTCAAGACTAGGCTAAGGGAACTTGTCCCTATCTCGCAGGAACAGTTCGGCTTCATGCCCGAAAGGTCCACCACCGATGCCATCTTCATCGCCAGACAGCTGATGGAGAAGTACCGAGAAGCGGCGACCCTGCTACCTAGCCTTCCTGGACCTTGAGAAGGCATTCGACCGCCTGCCTCGGCCTGTACTCTGGAGAGCGCTTAGAGAACGTAACGTTCCGGAGCACCTGGTCTCCATAGTGAAGGACATGTACGATGGGGCTAAAGCAGCTGTACGCACCCCTCACGGCTTGACAAAGGAGGTAAACATTACGGTTGGGGTACACCAAGGATCAGCCCTCAGTTCCTCTTCCTCCTGACTCTAGATGTCATGGCAAAAGAACTCATGGAGGGACCACTGAAAACCATCCTCTACGCTGACGACATCGCCCTGATAGCGGACAGGGAGGAACTCCAGGACAAGGTGCAGCGGTGGCAGGATGTGCTCGCTGAGAATGGACTCCGGCTGAACGTGAAGAAGACCAAGTTCCTGAGCTCCGAAGAGTGTACCGAACCCATCGTAGACCGCCATGGCGAGAGCATCGAAAGGGTCGAGGATTTCCAGTACCTGGGGAGCGACCTAGCAGCTGATGGCAGCGTGGACCAGGCGGTGAATCAACGCAGCCTGGATGAAATGGAGGGAGTCCACTGGCATCCTGTGCGACCGGCGGTGCTCGAGAACGCTCAAGGGCAAGGTGTACCGGGCGGTGGTAAGGCCTACAATGCTCTACGGCAGTGAGTGCTGGCCCATCTGCAAGAACCATGAAAGGCAGCTCCACTCAGCTGAAATGAGGATGCTGAGATGGGCCTGCGGCTGGACACGACTCGACAGAGTCAGAAACGAGGACGTCAGGGCGGTCACACAGACGGCTCCGATCCAGCTGAAGGCACGAGAGCAGCGACTGCGATGGTATGGGCACGTACTGAGGAGGCCTGAAGACCACCCAATAAGGAAGGCATTGGAATTCGAAGTAGAGGGCAAGCGACCACGAGGAGCCCCAAAGAAAAGATGGAGGGACGTCATCAAGAGGGACCTCACTGAAGTGAAAGCCACAGCAGAAGATG